GGCTTTGAGGAAAAGAGGATTGCACCCACCCGGCCACCCTCACCCTTCACTTCCTCTTTTTGGGACCCTGCCTTGGGGCACAGCTCTGTGCAAGCCTTCCTCCTCCTCTTCCTCCTGCTTTGGTTTCCAGTTCCCGTATCAGCATTGTTCCAGCACTCTTCTTCCTCCTCGTTTCAGGCTCTGCTCCCCATCTTCCTCCTCGTTTCAGGCTCTGCTCCCCATCTTCCTCATCTTCCTCCTCGTTTCAGGCTCTGCTCCCCATCTTCCTCCACGGCCATTTCAGGGCAGTGATCCCCATTCCACAACACACAGCTTTCTGTGCCTTCCTCCTCCTCTTCCTCCAGCATTTTGGGGGATGTCTCATCCCCACATTTGTGTACAGCACTTATTGCCTTCCTCCTCTTCCTCCTTCTCTGGGGCCATTTTGGGGTCTGGTCCCTCTTCCTCCTTCAGAACCATTTTGGGGTCTGGTCCCTTTCCCTCCTTCAGAGCCATTTTGGGGTCTGGTCCCTTTCCCCTCCTTCAGAGCCATTTTGGGGTCTGGTCCCTTTCCCTCCTTCAGAGCCATTTTGGGGTTTGGTCCCTTTCCCTCATTCAGAGCCATTTTGGGGTTTGGTCCCTTTCCCTCCTTCATCACCATTTTGGGGATCTGGTCCCCATCTTTCTCCTCCTCCTTCATCACCATTTTGGGGTGCGGTTCCCATTCTCTCCTCTTCCTCAGCCCCCATTTCTGGCTTCAGTCCCAAATGGAGTTGCAGCACCGGCCCCAAAATCTTCCTCCTCCCTGCAGCCACGTCGGGGCTCAGTGCCCATTCCCTCCTCCCACCCACACAGAGCAGGTTTCCCAGCCTTCGTTAATGACTGCTAACGAGGATGACGACAAAAACCTGCAAGCACTGCTTTCTTTGTACCCCAAAAACATTACGGGGCACGACATCTCGTTTCTTCCAGTTTCCCTTTTTTGGAGTGTCTCAAAGCAGTGGTTTTTCACCTCAAACTGCTGCTCAGCACAAAACTTACAACTTCCTCCAGGTGACATCCAGCTTTGACCAAACTGGGGTTTTTTTTGTTGTTTTTTTGTATATATTTTTTAACCTCTGGGATGCTGTTCTTATGGGGCTCGAGGTGTGATGTAAGCTTAACGTGAACCAACAGCGTGTGATTACAGCTGGGAAAGCAAATAGGAATCCATCCTGGGCTCCATCATCAGCAGAGGGGGTGGCCAGCAGGGACAGGGAGGTGATTTTTCGCCCTCTCTATTCTGCTCAGATGTGAGGCCACATCTGGAGTGCTGTGTGCAGGGCTGGGGGTTCCAATACAGGAAAGACAGAGAGCTGTTGGAGAGGGTTGAGATGAAGATGATCAGGGGGCCATAAAGATAATTGAGGGGCCATAAAGACAATCAGGAGGCCACAAAGATGATTAAAGGGCCATAAAAATGATCAGGGGGCTGCAGCACCTCCCCTATGAAGACAGGCTGAGGGAGCTGAGCTTGTTCAGCCTGGAGAAAGAAGGCTGCTGGGTGAGCTCATTACAGCCTTCCTAGAGCTAAAGTGAACCTACAAACAGGAGGGGAATCAACTCTTGGAAAGGGGAGATGATAGCAGGATGAGGGGAAACGGTCTGAAGTTGATTGAGGTTGGATGTCAGGGGGGAAATTGTTTGATATGAGAGTGGTGAGGTGCTGGAACAGCTGCCCAGAGAGGCTGTGGATGCTCAGTCCATCCCTGGAGGTGTTCAAAGCCAGGTTGGATGGGGATCTGAGCAGCCTGGGCTGCTGTGAAATGTGGAGGTTGGTGGTCCTGGATGTTGGGGGTGGGGGGGGTTGGAGATTCGTGATCCTTGTGGTCCCTTCCAAACCTGACCATTCTGTGATTCTGTGATGTGCCACAACGGTGGGGGTGCTGCTCCTATGGGGTGCTGCTCCTATGGGGTGCTG